AACTTCTAACACCGTAATGCGTGTACTGCGGCACTTAGAAAACCGGACTTGCCCTCCTAGTAAAAGCCTTACAAAGCCTCTTCCTATTTAAGGCTTCCTTTAAGGCCCAAAAGCTCACTAAATAATGCAAATAAACGACTGCTATCAAGGGAATCAAACCACCTCCACTGTAAAATAAAGACATTGAAGGCAAAAAGTCTTCACACTCAGTGGATCCGGAAGGTAGGAACTGGTTCTAATGCGGTCCCTTGGGATGACGACACTCTTCAGGGTCAGCGGTTCATCTTCTGCTTCACACCATGCAAGTTACTCAGGACAATGTCATAGCAGTTACGACGCGCATTAGGCCGGCTGCCACGTCGGAGAACACAGATGCAGCTGGAAAGGCAGTTCTTGCTGGTTTACCTAAGATGTTGCCTCAAATATAGCTACTCTAAGAGGAAATATTGCTGTAAGTAGGAGATTGCGAGATAAAACTTCCAAGAACTCGCTCTCCCTTTGCTTTTACACCACTTTTTGTATTTTATCAGATAAAAGGTATTAAAACGATTACCTGAGCAAATGAACAGAAAAAGAACACATTATTTTGTGAAGGGTAATTCGTGGGTCTTGGGCAAGTCAGCGCGTTCTCAGGCCCCTCTAAACCTCTCTGCTACTGCTCAGGTAGCTCCAAGTGCCTCGGGGATTTTACAGCATCAGCTTTGTAGTTTCATTAATAGCCACAGACTTAATATGCACAGATCAAGAATCAGTGAGCCTGGTGGGGGAAAAAAAAAAAATCTACAGTAGGTAACTTGTAACTGGTAATATTCATAGAAGCCCCACCAAGAACAGCAACTAAAAGAACTTTTTAAATTTTCAGTGTAATACTGTGCTTGTTGGCACAGCGTTTATATCATCAGGTAATGATTACCAGTAAGATTTCCCACATCCATCCCCAGCTTGTTAGCAGCACCATGCTAGGAGCAATTTAGGCCAATTTCACAGAATCACAAGGGTTGGAAGGGACCTCGGGAGATCATCCAGTCCAACCCCCCTGCTAAAGCAGGCTCACCCAGAGCATGTTACAGAGGACTTCATCCAGGAGGGGGTTGAGTATCTCCAGAGAAGGAGACTCCACAGCCCCCCTGGGCAGCCTGTTCTAGCTCTCTGTCACCCTCAGAGTAAAGAAGTTTTTCCTCATATTCAACTGGAACCTCTTCTGCTTCAGTTTGTGCCCATTGCCCCTTGTCCTGTCGCTGGACACCACTGAGAAGAGTTTGGCTCCGTCCTCGTGACCCCCACCCTTGAGATATTTGTAGGTGTTGATGAGATCCCCTCTCAGCCTTCTCTTCTCCAGGCTGAACAAGCCCAGCTCCCTCAGCCTTTCCTCGTAGGGGAGATGCTCCAGTCCCCTCATCATCCTTGTTGCTCTCCTCTGAACTCTCTCCAGGAGTTCCTCATCTTTCTTGAACTGGGGAGCCCAGAACTGGACACAGTGCTCCAGGTGGGGTCTCACCAGAGCAGAGCAGAGGGGGAGGAGAACCTCCCTCGCCCTGCTGGCCACACTCCTCTTAATGCACCCCAGGATGCCATTGGCCTTCTTGGCAACAAGGGCACCCTGCTGGCTCATGGTCAGCTTGTCGTCCACCAATTCCTGAAGATACATGTTTTCTGTTGCAAACTCTAGTTTTGTGACAACTATTTCTGATGATTTTAAGCACATGGAGACTTTTGCATAGACAGGTATTGCACAACTCAATCCTCACAGTTCACATTTAATAGGAAAATTCTTTAAGGCACAGATTTTATGTTTATTCCCTGTAGACTTTTTTTTTTTTTTTACCCTTTTTCGAGGTTCAATGTAAAATTTAAAAGCACTAAATTATGTGATGTTCTTGAAGCATCACAAACAGATCTGCATTACCAATATTCTGACTGAAGTTGCCAGCAGGAGGCAAAGTTGTATGTTCGGGGTTCGCTTTTTGATTTATTTTAACTTACTTATGTAGTGGTGGTAAAGTGCTTCTTTACCACCGCTTCGCATCTACCACTTGATTGTACTCATGAGCTCTCTTATGGCTGTGTTCCAATAGCCAATAATGCAATTTTTGGCCATTTCCTAATAAATGTATTCAAAAGCTAGTATCTTAATTTAGCCAACAGGTGAAAAGTTAAGTAACCAGAATATGGAGTCTTCCAAGGAAGATTAGGTCAATCTCTAGAATGTATGGAAATGGTTCTGTAATTAAGTGGTTTCACTAGCAGCCCCCTTTTGCAAGCACTTAATTTGTTTAAATGCTGAACTAATAAACTGTCCTTGCATTTTAGATTGTCAGCGCACAAACGCCTCGGCACGTACGTCCACACTCTGTTGACTGTAATTTGATTCAGCGGAGAGCGGTGTCCATGATTTGGCTGCGGTCACGGCGGGCGGAGCGAGCTGTAACACTTCAGCAGGTTGAATGGAAGACTCCCCCCACCTTGACACCCTGAGCAGCCAGGGCATTGTACTCTTCCACTGCCTTCTCCGTTTGCAAGACCAACACATCAATCCCGTGTTTCTTCAGATAGTCCACAGTAGATGGTGGAACCTCAGAAGAGAAAAGGAAACAGGAAGAGCAAATATTAGATTCTTTCTCCCCCATGCTGTAAGGCTTGAAGAAAAAACAGGTACTGGTGTTAGCATTTGTTAGTAGATGCACTTAAGTAACTAATAGTAGCCAAACTGATAATAAGCTCAGATATTTCAAAGATTGATATAATTTTTTTCCTCTTCAGTAAAGCTACTTTTATATACACACCTCCCATCTCTCCTTAACAGGGTTTAAAATGCAGCTCGTTCTTACAAAAGGAAACAGAACTGGAGTTAAAGGTAATTAATCCAAATAAGGTGTTACTCACCTCATCAAAAAGCTAAAGAATTGTTTCTTGTGAATTGAAGCTCAGCCCTTCTGAGCTTTCTGTAGCTAGTTTATCAGCTGAAATGACATCCTGCCAACATTAGTAACAAAAATACCTAATTATCAAAGTATTTATCGCGGGCTAGAGAGCTAGTTCATAACCTATTCTAAAAAGGGGGACTAATGACACTGTAAACAATTTCTCCTTGGTGAAATTGTTCCTGTAACAGAACGTAAACCTGTTTACTGCTTGACATTGACACTAACACAGAGGAGCTCAAATGATGTTTCTTTCCGTAAAAGAGTGAGTCCTGGCAGGAGCAGTCGTGCTAATTCAGCATCGTGAATTTTCTCCCTCTTAGTAAAGCTTCACCCATTTGCCCCCCCCCCCATCAGAAGGAGAGGGAAAACAAACTGTTCTAGTTTATGTTTATCACAGAACAAAAACCTACCTGCAAAGCCTCGCTCATGCCGCGGCCAATCACCACAGTTTTAACACCCTTCTTGACAACTTCTTCAAGGTCAGCTGGCTGCACTCCTGGAGAATGCTAAGTGTCAGGGGAAGAAAATAACAGGCTGTGTACTGACAGCATCGACCAGGAAAGCTTTGTCTGTGCATTTTGAAACTGTCCGTAGAGTAGCAGGGTGAATTAGCAGTACCAAAATGTAACGCAAGGCTCTTTTCTGCCTACACAGAGTAGATAACATTGGTAATTAAAAAAAGGTATTTTATATGCGGATGGGGGATGATACTTCATCAACTGATGGCAATATTATCATTCTTTATTAAACAGTTAAAATTAAAAAGATGCATTACACGTTTCTCAAACATTTATGTCTCACAACTAGCATTTTATAAATAAATAGTAAAGTGGAATCAATAAGTTGCAATGTATCGTCATTTGTTTTCAAATGAACAAAACCTTTTTGTAATAAAGATTGTGGCAAGCCAGAGTTTACTCACTTCAATTACAAAGAGCTCCTCAAAGAATTAAAATGATTCAATTCTTGTTTACTCTGCAAATCGCATTTACCAAAGAGGACTGAAACATATTGGTTAGCTTCGTTTCAGTGAACGGTTTCAATTTCTGCACTATTCCTGATTTTGAGAAAGGAATATTTGAAAGCAAACTCCTCAAAGCAAAAAAAAGAAGAGCTTCAACAGCATGGTGATTTTTTAAAGAAGTACACCCATTTACTGCTAGTACGCTTTAAACATATGAATCTGCAAATCATAGAATCGTTTAGGTTGGAAAAGACCTTTAAGATCATCAAGTCCAACCATTAAATACACCTGTAATGTTAATATAAAACATTATGTTGCACTAATTCTCCTCCTGGATTCCATTTCTATGTTTCTCTGTGGCCAAGAGTAAGATACTGTACAGCTGGACTGCACTGGTCCCTCTTTGGTGTGCATTTGTTTTTTAAACTACAAACACTATTCCCCCTCCATCCTCCCCCCCTTTTTTTTTTCTTTTTTTGGTAGGATTCTTAAGTTCTTTTAAAGGACTGAGGTGAGTTTCTCACTTGAAGTAGGTAACAGCATGGTGGACTCCTGGAGGATGTTATTTTTATGGAGATGGCCATACATCCTTATCCCCTATACTTCCAGAAATACTACATTCTTCCAACTTTTGAAGCTTAATTTCACCACCAGTTGGCTTCTGTTGTTCCATTAGTTAGTGAGCGGTACTCTTTGATGTCCTTGGGTCCTCTGCTGTTCTTTCCCCTGCCCAAGCCGTCAGCAGCTGATGCTGCAGCCTCTCACAAGGTGTCGGAGTTCTCTTCCCAGCCCTGTCAGTTCCTCGGCTTGCAGAACAGCGCGAGACTTTTCAAGCCAAAATGAACACACGAGTGCCTGAAGTTGCAGGCAAGGGAAACCTTCCATGGCAGAGTGCCACCTCCAAGGAGTGGATTAAATTTATCCTACCAGAAAGTCTTCAGCCTGGCTGGTGTCTGGAATTTCAGCAACAGAGATGGGTCACCTTTATGGTTCTCCAAGTTGTGTTCCCCTTAGTCCATTTACATTTGATACCTGCACCTGGAATGCAGCCAGTCACTTCAACGTGCAGAGCTTTCTCAGACCAAATCACCCCAAGTACGTGCTTACAACAGAACAGGTAATGCTTTTCCTTTGGGGGTTTTAAAGTAGACTGAAAAAGAACTGGTATGGTTTACTGCAATTACAGTAATTAGATTGCTGGGGAAGGCTTGCTGTCATATGATAAGTACTCCTGAGACATTACAGCCATGGAACAAAAGGATTTTCTTCGGTTACACGAGATGCTCTGATGTGGGAACTTCCACATGTTTTGTAGGAAACCAGTGTCATTAAAGGAAACATTAACATGATGGAATAACTGTATCGTTGCTGATT